TGCGGCACCTCCAGTGATATTATTTGCATGGAGCAGAAAGAAGACAGAAAGGAATGTTGGGGTGCTAAAAACGAGGCAAATACTTACCACTGTAACATCTATATCTGTCGGACAGACTACAGAAAATATGTGATGATTCTGTACCTCAGGAATGAATTTTATAGTCATTGGAATGCATTGACCTCCGTGAGCGATTACCTGTTTTTCTCAAGTCTTAAATGATTTTTGTCAGGTGCTGACCTCCGACCTCCGCACTCAGTAATATTCCAGCTATATGGCGGCGGTCTGTAAATAATCGAGTCTGGACCAGACAATCCAGTGATCAACAACATGAGCATCGATCTGCGCAATAAGGAACTGATGACATGTGTCAACCAAGTCAGCGAGCCTGACCACCCGATCCCGTCAGTCGCCTCTTACGACAAGCATGGGTCACTGAAGGTTCATTCTAACCCGGACCTTGCCAGATTTGCACTAACTAGTACTTTCCGGCACTAATAGATATAATGTCTAAAAACAACTGTTAGAGCTCAGCGGGGTACAGGCGTCCAAAGACATGTAATTGGTACTGCTACTATAACAGTTAACTGGCAGAGCTTTTTACCTGACAATCGCAACAAAGGGGAGCCTTTCCACTTTTTGAAAAAGCCCTTATTCAGTCTGTCCAAGATCAGCACAAGGAAATTATTGAGACACAAGGAGAAGAGGTACTTTGTGTTCCTCAACAACCTGATTTGTCTTCCATTGTTCCTTGCAACCACGAAGAAACTGATATTCGCATAATGCTCCATATTGCTCATGCTGCTAAACATGGCCATGATAGGATTGTGATACGAACAGTAGATACAGATGCTGTCATGCTTGCAGTCATGGTTTCCCAGATTTTCTTGCCAATTCATCCCGAACTGTTCGTTACTTGGCAGCTCATGAAATCAAGGCATGTGTGGGACCTCAGAAATCGCATGCTCTTCCGATGTTTCAAGCTCTGACAGGATGTGATACTGTATCAGCTTCTGCAAGACACGGTAACTGTATCAGCTTCTGCAAGACACGGTAACTGTATCAGCTTCTGCAAGACACGGTAACTGTATCCGCTTCTGCAAGACACGGTAACTGTATCAGCTTCTGCAAGACACGGTAACTGTATCAGCTTCTGCAAGACACGGTAACTGTATCAGCTTCTGCAAGACACGGTAACTGTATCCGCTTCTGCAAGACACGGTAACTGTATCAGCTTCTGCAATACGCGGTAACTGTATCAGCTTCTGCAATACACGGTAACTGTATCAGCTTCTGCAATACACGGTAACTGTATCAGCTTCTGCAAGACACGGTAACTGTATCAGCTTCTGCAAGACACGGTAACTGTATCAGCTTCTGCAAGACACGGTAACTGTATCAGCTTTTCAAGACACGGTAAGAAGACAGCCTGGACTACACGGGAAATCTTTCCAGAGGTGACGCAGGCTTTAATTGCTCTGTCTAGTGCTCCAAGAAGCATCACAGATGATGTTATGAAAATCATTGAGAAGATCATCGTATTGATGTATGAAAGGACCAGCCTTGACACGAATGTTGATCCAGCCAGAAAGGGACTATTTTCGAGGAAAAACTCAATTCATGCCATCCCACCAACACATGCAGCTCTTGTTCAACATGTCAAAAGAGCAGCTTACCAGGCAGGTCATATATGGGGTCAGTCACTTCTTCCACAGCCTGTACACTCCAACTAAGTAGGGCTGGATACAGAAGTAAAGTGGACAGTATGTTCCCTACTAGACAACACTACACCAAGCACCAACATCTTGCCAGGAGTTGGTCTCCTGTGGCTGTAGAACATCCGCAGCAAGTGCAAACAGTCCTCATTTACATGCACTGGACTCTGCTGGTGCGAGGGTCAGTGTTCATAACACTGACCCTTCTATATATTTAAGATGTTTAACCAATATTTCAGGTCTGTATTTTTTGAGACAAATTAGTGTATTGATGGCAGCCCCAAAGCTATAACAAGCGCCAGAAAAGGCAAAATATTATCTATCTACTGCGCATGCGCAAAATGAAATTATTTTAAGTGCCTCCATATCCTAAAATGTTCACTAGGCATCAGTCTATAAATGTGCAACGTTTCATGCTTTTATCATTAAATGCACATTTTATCTGCTTAGCCGCTCCACTATAAGCAGAAAGGTATTGTTTGTTTGTTTGTTTGTTAATTACATGTTTTTCTCTTCATGATTGTTATATTTACACGTTATTTTTATCCCGAAGCGGTATTCAGATAAGCAACATACTGCTTGATTACCAATCCGGTTCCACTTTTGGAAATAAATATGTTTAAACCAGTTTGATGAAACTGATTGCGCATAATGTGCCAAATATCTTACATTCTTAGGAAATCTCGAATTGATTGTTTTATGAGATGTTGAACTGACCAATTGGAATCCTGTTTGGGGTGACTCACCTTATCAGGACCAAATGTTTTGTTATTTGTATAAAACTTTCTTTGACATGTGAAATTAGAGTGTAAACACATTGTTGTTTATGTAGGTGAGGCATTCAAAGCCTTAGATACCAAGATATGCACATGAATAATGTTGAAATTTGATCTTTTGTTAGATTATCGTATGTGCCTTAAGTTATTTGTTATGTACAACTAGTGTGTAAATATATTTATATTTATATATGTGTGATTGGACAGCCCTGTTTACTAAGATAGGAATCCAAGAAACAACAATAGACATTGACATGTATGCTCTGGAAAACCTTGTTTAGCACGATATGCCTTTCAATTTAGCTATTGTGTGTATGTTTATGTTGCATTTCAACTTTTAACATGTCAAATGCCGTCATTTTAAATATAGTTATATATGTTCGAGCCAGTTGTTTCATTAATAATCATTTTCACCTTTAAATGGTCTTGAAGTAGAGTAGAATCACTGTCCCCCTGACGGGTACGTAAGTCCCAAAACATTCGAAGTAAATTTAGAAGCACTAGGTTTCAGTGGTGGCTAGATCACCATGGGGACTTACAGTTCTTTTGCTACCTGCAAGAACCCTAGATGGACTCACATGGTCCCTTCATACGTTGACGATTGTGCTCAAATTTACTAAATTATTTATGCAAGAACCCTAGATGGACTCACATGGTCCCTTCATACGTTGACGATTGTGCTCAAATTTACTAAATTATTTATGCAAGAACCCTAGATGGACTCACATGGTCCCTTCATACGTTGACGATTGTGCTCAAATTAAATAAATTATTTATGTAAGAACCCTCGATGGACTCACATGGTCCCTTCATACGTTGACGATTGTGCTCAAATTTACTGAATTACCCTAGATGGACTCACATGGTCTCTTTATACGTTGACGATTGTGCTCAAATTTACTAAATTATTTAGTACATTTGAGCACAATCGTCAACGTATGAAGGGACCATGTGAGTCCATCTAGGGTTCTTGCAGGTAGCAAAAGTACTGTAAGTCCCCATGGTGATCTGCCTTCAGTTGCTGGTGCACTATAGCTTGTTCTGTATATTGTGTATTGTCCGAGTAGTGTTATTACACTGATTAATCTGATACTCTGGTTGTTTTACTGTCCCTTGACGACAGATTTTATAATATACATTTATTCCTTATCAATGTTAAGGACCCGTGAAGATCCGGGGTAGAATAGGTCTCCAGCAACCTATGTGCTTGCCATAAAAGGCGACTATGCTTGTCGTAAGAGGCGACTAACGGGATCGGGTGGTCCGTTTCGCTGACTTGGTTGACACATGTCATCGGTTCCCAATTGCGTAGATCGATGCTCATGCTGTTGATCACTGGATTGTCTGGTCCAGACTCGATTATTTACAGACCGCCGCCATATAGCTGGGATATTGCTGGGAGTGCGGCGTAAAACTAAACTCACTCACTCACTGTCAATGTTAAATTGGTTCTCGTCAAGGTATGTGAGGATGAATATTAACTAGCTCACTCACTCACTCACTCACTCACTCTCCAATCGTTTTCATTTACAGTGATTTATTTTCATTTTATTTCAATGAACCTTGGTCGTAAGGATAAAATGAAGCAATTCGCATTGTGCTTTCATAACACGCAGAATGAGTTTTAGGATAGTTACGGACATTGATATATGTTCTTTGCAAAACAAACCAAATGAATTTTGAAATGACGTTTAGCTCGCTGGTGGATCAAACTGTTTCCCCTATTGTGAACTGACATTTATTATTGCGTTTTGAGTTAAAGTAAATGTTTTCACCCATGTTCGAGTTTCTGATTAACGTTCTAAATTAGCCGAATTAAGTCAAAAGACTTACATTTTGTTTCATGATACTTATAAACATATATATACTTTCATTTATTCACAACCCCAAAAACATGAACAAACATGTATTTAGAGCAAAAGTAAACATAAGCGAGCGAGTTTAAATTTTGAGTTTTCGAAAAAAAATTCATCCTTGGTATACATTCATGATAACTGCATGTTGAATTTTGTCAAATCCTTTGCCAGAAACTGGTCACAAGGCGGAGAGGTTCTGGACTTTGGGGTTTTCAGAATTTAATTGAGACGTTTTATGTATGTCGCTCTTTGAAAACTTCATAAAAAGTTCATGATCCACTGGCCCCTGCAGACAGCACAGACTGAAACTGTTGGAATAAGTTGACTTTCGGAGTTGTCCCCCTTGTCAAACAGTATTGTGAATGTTACCCGTGAAGATCCGGGTTAGAATATTGATCTTCAGCAACCCAGGCTTGTCGTAAGAGGCGACTAACGGGATCGGGTGGTAAGGCTCGCTGATGTGGTTGACACATGTTATCGGTTCCCAATTACGTAGATCGACGCTCATGTTGTTGATGACTGGATTGTCTGGTCCAGACTCGATTATTTACAGACCGCCATATAGCTGGAATATTGCTGAGTGCGGCGTAAAATTAAACTCACTCACTCACTATTTGTGAATATTGAACATCAAATGAAAAAAACCCATATAATTTCATGAAATACAACCCTTTATTCCTCTTTCAAAGTCACGATTACACAACCACGTATCGCAATCTCGGTGATACTTCATCGGTTGTAATCTCTGTGTCTTCACGATTTCCGACCAGCGTACGGCCATCTAGTCACCACCAAATCCACCCATCATCCTCATCATGGGAGTGGTTGTAGTGGTTGTAGTGGTAGTAGTGGTAGTCTGGCTGTTGAGGACCTTCAGGACAAAGTTGGCGTTGAAGATCGCCTGGGTGTTGCTGTCGCAGTTCGTGATCAAAGAGTTGAAGGTGGTGAACAGTCTGTAATAATTAGAACCAAGTATCAGTTACCAAACTTGTTTGTTTGTTTGTTTGTTGTTTTTAACGCAGCACTCAGCAATATTCCAGCTACATTGGGGGAGGTCTGTAAATAACTGAGTCTGGACCAGACAATCAAGTGATCAACATCATGAGCATTGATCTACGCAATTGGGATACGTTGGCATGAGTGAAAGAAGTCAGCGAGCCTGACCACCCAATCCCGTTAGTTGCCTTTAACGACAAGCATGGGTTACTGAAGACCAATTCTAACCAGGATCGTCGCGGGTTTATCTGTTATGAAATGTTCATGGGTGTAACCAAGTGGTTACAAGATTCGCACAACGGTTTCGATTTCTTATATGGATATGTGAAACCTTTTTCAGCTGTTCCCCAATCGTGATGTTGTCCGATTATTACCCAAATACGGCGTAAAACCGTACTCACTAACTTCATCTAAGGCCACAATTGATGTTGGGGTGGAAACGTTATCATAGCTCAAAGTTTTCTTTTTGAAAGAGAAACGTTTGACGACGCATTTGGCAATATCTCAGCGATTTCACCAGAAATGTCGCAACACGCTTTGTATCCATGTAGGAAATCGAACCCGTGATTTGGCGTGAGGAGCGATGCTTTATTTGTGGACAGTATGTACCCGTCGTCTCTCGTGGCTGACAAGTTATACAATCTTCAAGTGTATCAATTCATGGTACCAAAGAAAGGATATCATTCCTTATAAATACACACTGTGTTTGGATGATAATGATTACACTATCAGTGTACGACCCTGATGTGACTAGATGGAACTGCTTTCTCAGCTGTTTGGGAAACAGTGTCCCCTTCCGACAATGACGAAAATAAATTGGAGAAAAATATGTTTTAACCAATTTTCTCTTTAACCAACAAAACGGTACAAACATGTTTTGTTCTTTTCAATTATTAACATTGCAACCGCCATCAAAGGCACAAATAAAGGAGAAAAAATGTTCTAACAAATTTAGTCTTCAACATTTCGATTGCCAACAAAACTGCTGGTTAAACCGTTCGGTCGTCACGCCGAAAACCCGGGTTCGATTCTCCACATGGGTACAATTTGTGAATCCCATTATTGGTGTGATATTTCTTGTTTAGTTGTAAAAGCGGCCTAAAACCTCACGCACTTACAAACAAAACGGGTACAAACTAAATATTAAAATGACTATGATCTTACTTGGCTTGAAGCTCGCCAGCGTGACTGAGACCAAAGATGTGGTACAGCGCTTCGCAGTTTTGGGCGTCGGCAGCAACGTCGCAGAAATCCCCGTCCTGAAATAGGCATCCAGGGTTCTTGGTGTGTCCGTTCAGGATCAGCTTGTCGATCTCATCGCATTCATCAGAGTTCACAAATGGAAGCAGTTTCTTGGTCGTGCACTTTCTCACGTTTTGGATGTAGCTGAGACCCTTGAGGTAAAAGTGCAAAGAGTTTCATTATTTCATCTTTACAACTTAAGTAATTATAGGGACAAGATTACCAGAGTCAATCTGACATGCGTGGCCCTGGTGTCACAGAAGATACAATACATGTGCAGAGTTGCGTCCCTTGGGTTCAACAAAAAGCATGATCGTTGGTTCGAGTCCCGGTAAGCCCTGACTTTGTGTCTTGGTTTGCTATCACTTTGTCCGTGCTCATGGATTTCACCGAAGCGATTATCGTCTAATACATGCATCAGTACCGACATTGCCTGCACGGTAAGCTGATATAACTGGAATACTACAAACAACGCCGCTGTGATATTGCTAAAAGCGGCGAACCACCCACTCACAAAAAGAGGCCTTAAACCCTCCTCACTGATTTTCGGATACCTTATTTTGGAGGCACTGAAAATCGCACCATCAATCATTTTTATAAAATGCAGGAAACAAACTCAGTGATACACTGATTGTTGTCAGTTTTTGTTGGTTTTTTCTATTTCACACAGCGATATTCCAACTATATGACGGAGATCTGTAAATAATCGAGTGTGGACCACACAATCCAGTGATCAACAACATGAGCATCGATCTGCGCATTTGGGATACGATGACATGTGTCAACCAAGTCAGCAAGCCTGACCACCGGTCACGTTAGTCGCCTGTTACGACAAGCAGCGATTGCTGAAGACCAATTCTAACCCGGATCTTCACGGGTTAGGACAGTTTGAAAGTCAGGTATACGACTAAAATGTTCGTCCGATCTTTCCCATTACCACAGTTAAATACTACTAATTTCTAACTGTAGTATTTTGCAGTGTTTAAGAGATCCTTTACTATTTTGGGACGCATGTCATGGCATCCCAACTGTGTAGATCGATGCTCATGATGTTGATCACTGGATTGTCTGATCCAGACTCGATTATTTACAGACGCCGCCATATAAGTGGAATATTGCTGAGTGCGGTGTTAAACAGCAAACCAAAAAACTAACTTAACTCTTTTGGAGTGGTATAATTTACACTTAACACATATTTACCACGTTATCAAACTCGGGCTCTCTGATGACGGACTGGGTGCAGATCTTCTCTGCAAGGACTGGGAGTGGACGGCAGGTGTTCAACCCTTTCTGCAGACACAGTGGGTGGGTGTAGAAGCTGCAGGAACCGCTGTCGGCCAAATTCCCGCACAGGTCTGCATTGTGATGAGAGGAGAAGGATGAGAAACATGGGATTACGAACATACATCAAATCTCCCTTCCAGTAAAATTGTCCTCTTTCAAATCGTAAACTTGGGATCGCTAACTTCCCTTTATGAACCCAAGTACCTGATCGCTGTATGTGTGTGAGTGAGTTAAAATATAAAATCACGACGGCAATATTTCAGCCATATTGTGACAGTAGTATTAGTACTACTTTTGAACAAATAATTCAGACTATATAGAGCCTGCCATCAAGGGACAGTAATATAACCTGAGTAGCACAGATATATAATTTAAAGCTAGTATCTAACGGTAAAAATAAGACTCTTTGACTTACCTAAATGATGGGTAATATTCACAAATAGATTAATACATGGGGAGGAGACATATCTGAGATACATATTATGTACGATGTAGTAGAATTGTTTTGATTAACAGCTTGACTCTTTTTAAAAATCCTGAGATCTAAAGAGCAATACTTTCTGTGATCGCCAATAGAACTTGAGTATACTGTACGATTCCGACTGTGCAAATGATAATTGTTTATGAATCGCTATCAATCTTTAAGAACGATTGTCTGATTGCAATAAAACAGAAACAAATAAACTGTAAAATGTATGTAGACAATAAGTCGTGCAGGCACTGCTCTCATATAGAAGTAAAAAGAAACTAGTTTTTCTTACCGAAGGCAGTGGTAGTGGTTGAGGGTGTAGTAGTGGTTGGGGGTGTGGTAAGGGGTGGTGCGAGCTGCTGTAAATTTAAAAAAAAACATGGTTGAAGATCAATATAACACCCATCGGTCCTTTTGTTAAATAAGTTTCAAATGGCAAATATGTTCAATATGTCGACTGAGTATTCAATCCAGGTAAAAATGTCTTCCTAAAACTGGATATTGGTAAACGTGTATTTAATGTAAGCCTGTAATCTGCACATAGAAGTTAAAACCAAAGCATAAAAGAATTATCAGGCCAACAGCTATTAATAATTACGCCCATGGCTTTAAATCATAAGCAATGATGTACGTATTGTCCCTCATGATAAAATAATGTGCCAATCAAACTGACATGTATACCATCTATTACAAAGGGTTACCATGGGAACAACTACCTGTGGTACTGTCGATTCTTCCGTTAGTGCCGCTTCCATTGTAATTGTACCCGTTTTGGCCGTTGTTTCCACCATTGTTGTTTCTTCCACCATTGTTGTTTCTTCCTCCATTGGGGTTTCTTCCGTTGTTTCTTCCTCCATTGTTGTTCCTGCCATTGTTTCTTCCATTATTGTTTCTTCCGTTGTTTCTTCTTCCATTGTTGTTCCTGCCATTGTTTCTTCCATTATTTCTTCCTCCATTGTTTCTTCTTCCGTTGTTCTTGCCATTGTTTCTTCCATTATTGTTCCTTCCGTTGTTTCTTCCGCCATTATTTTTCTTAACCCCGCCATTGTTGTTTCTTCCATTGTTACCTTTGTTTCCTTTACCAGTCTGCCTGCCGGTCGGTCCACCTTGATTACCCCCACTCACTTGACCACCATCGGTATCATCAGCATCATCGTCGTTGTTATCGTCGTCTCCATTGTCATTCCCGTCATCTGTATTACCATTGTCGCCAGTATTACCATTGGCATCTCCTTTCTTCATCCACCAAAGAGCATCATTCAGATCTTCACTTGGCGTTGTGGTTTGTCTTCTGATTCCACCTCCGTAGAAACCTGAAGATGCTCCAAAGCAGACGACAACCAACAGAACAAGGACGATCAGCTTCATCTTGGCAACTTTTCCCGAACAGCTCTTAAAATCTCGAAAGGATCAAAGAGGCTGATGAACAATTTTTCACTGAATTTATACAAGTGGAAGGGGAAGTTAAACAATGTTGAGGAAATATTACTCCATTGGTTGACTAGAAAAACAGGTGTGCCTATTACGGAAAAGGATGCATTTTTCAATATTTGTAGAGGCTAGTTAGCATGAAGTCACTAATCTGCTGCATGAGCTTGGGAGGCTTGTCGTTTACGTGTGTGTGTATATGTAAATCATTACGTTTGCAACCTGGACTGTATTGAATCTCTGCCCCAGGAACGCCGTGCCAACAATTCGTGTTTGAACAGAGGGCTAACCACTGACCTTTCTATGTTTGGTGAGACACAATTTGATGTTAGCAATGCGTCGCCAACGTTTTTGTCAACATGGTAAAATAAGGCCTACGTCAGCGACTTTCTGACCAATCATTTCATTCATTTCACGAAAGACATTGAATCAGCTGTTTCGAGATCGACCAAGGAACTGTTACTATCAAAATCAACATTAAATATTGAATTAGTCGTTAACTTTTTGTCTATTTCACCATCACTCGTTCCTTCACAGTTTGTAAAGCATAATCGGTGACTGGGTATTTTGGTGTAAACATAATTGGTTAAGTGTTTGTTTGTTTGTTTGTTTGTTTGTTTAACGTCAGCACTCGGCAATATTCCACCTCATTACTTTCCGCAAGCACCTTTACTTCACGCCACCCAATGTGCGCTCAGAACTCATTGCACAGGAACATGTGCTATCACATTCGGTATAGCCTCATTTCAAAAGTGGGTGTTATGGTTATGGTTCCCTCCGATTATTATTTAGCTGAAATTAGGAACAAACATTACAACACAAACAGCCAATAATCTCCACATTAACGCCATTGATACCAATAAAAAAAATCACAGAACGACAAAAGTTTGCATTTACAACGTTTAAATAATCTCTGCGCACACCAGTTTTCAAAGGTGTTTTATTTTTGTGGTAACACTATTGTGTAAAGTCCTATTAAGACATATTATGACTCTTGATCGATTCGTATATAATCGATTTTAATGATTTGGCAAACAAGATTTTTTTTAATACATCAAACGAATGCAACAACACATCCCTGACAACACCGGAGACGTTACGTCAGGAAATTCATATAATCACAAGACCGCGTTGTACATTTAATGATGTAAAAACCGTATCCAAATACGTAGATACATGTTCATGATATCAATCACTGTATTGACAGGTCCGTAGTCGGTTCACAGGCAACTCGGTTTGAATTTTCCTCGGGGAGCTGAGAATGACAATATAGCGGACAATGACCCATTGTCTCGGGTAATAATACAACGAGTTTTGGGTGTCGATTAGGCGCTTTGCATATGTGCATATCAACAATAATCTATATGAGTAAAAAAATACGTTATGTAAGACCGGGATGTGTGTGTTTGTTTTGGGGGTTTGGGGGGATTTTCTTATAACTGTTTTCAAATCATATGACGAAGGTGTCCAACTTTGTCAAATTTTTCTGCAGTTGTTCTCGCAACAGACATCTGACATAGAACAACAGTTGTTTGTGTCAAACAAACACTGAAATATTACGAAACTTCTGTTAATGCAATCAATGCAAAAGCGAGGAATTGTACAGTCCATGTGGGCTGTTTATTTAACAAACGCTAAAATAACTACTGCTTGACGCGGTGACACGGTGTAAATAAAAGCGACAGTTATCTTTCTTTCTTCTCAAAAACCCACCAAGGGTGTTACAAGAGACAAATAAATGCAAATGAATACAATAAATACCAAGATATCAGGGATGTACAAAGTGACATCGACATCATTTATGATGCAAAGATAAAGTATAACTAATTGAAAAAGCGTAAATGTTACAAAGTAGATTGCTGTCTCTGTTCAGGTCTTTACGTGCGTCTGAGAGAAAACCCAGTGTCTTACATTCCAAAGGTTAGGTGACCAGCAACCGTGTTGAGTTATTCCAACTGACACCGCTTCATAAAGTTGGGTTGCTTTAAGGATGACAACTTCTTTACCATATTATGATGTGACGTTATGTTCTTATACCTTTGTTCATATACCTTTGTCAAGGACACTCTTGACAACCCCTGACGATCAGGGTTATATTTGATCTTCAGCAACCCATGCTTGTCGTAAGAGGCGACTAACGGGATTGGGTGGTCAGGCGATTGATGTGGACGTCAACATGTCATCGTATCCCAATTGTGTAGATCGATGCTCATTGTTGCTAATCACTGGATTGTCTGGTCCAGACTCGATTATTTACAGACCTGTAGCCTCTCTTCCATGTTCTGTATCAGGCTGTCCAGGAAGATGTCCTTTGAAGACTTGATATCTGACCGCCTGCTCTCAGTCTTCTCCATGTTGTACAGGTCAGCAAGCTGATCAATGATCAATGGCCTGGCTTGTCATTCATTTTTCTCAAAGCTGCATTGCTACTTTATATTTGTGGTTCCAAAACACTCAGATCCAAATCCCTTCTCTCGAACAACTTGGTAGTTCAGATAACAGAGAGCACGCAAGAGAATAGTGTACAGTCTGCCATAAGACTTGAGCTGCCTGTAGAGTCCTTCAGCAGTGATGCTCCGCTTATCCCCAGTCCTCCCATCATTCGCCATGCCTACAGCATTCTCTCAGTCAGCAAGGATTGATGGGTAGAACTGCCTACTGCATGAACAGCTCTCTCATGACTGAGCACCCGGGTATGAACAACCTTCTTAATTGTAGTTGGACAATCTATTTGGTTCATCTGACATGTGCTGTAATGGTAGTACTTCAACAGTCCCATCAGCAGTTCACACTTTCAGTGAGTGTGACAGACTTTAATGCTGAACTAATGGCAAGCCTGTGATTAACACAGTTCACATCTATCAAAGCTGAGTTAGTTTTCCTTAGCTGTGTCACAACACCATTCTTTTTTCCCTGTCATGACTGTCCATCACTTGCAAATCATGGCATCTTCTTCTGGTCCAGATTGGCCCTCTCCACATAGTATTTAACACTCTTCACTATCGTATCTGCTGCTCCATGTGGTATTTCAGGATTCTGTAGAAGTGCAAGCTTTGACTATCCATTCTCAACATTACGTCCAGCAACTGATAGATGTTTTCTGGTCGAGACATCTGTGTACGCAGCCATTCGTCAGAATGAACTGATATCTTCTTCAACAACTTCAGCTTGGCACTCTATAAATTCCTGAACTGACTTGTCTTCAATGTGTGATGCATTTTGCCAAATTTGATGCTACAAGTTCTATACACAAGTCGACAAGTGGACGATATAAGGTTGTGTGGCAGGTTATGCTTGATAAGGAAGAGCAGTACTTTCTGCGCATCCTCCAGTGCGTCATTTTCCTGTGTACTTTGAGAAAATATTCTCAATGGGCACTTTAGCATCCTTTTACATCACGACTGCGTCTTAATGCATATGAGAATTTTCATGAAGGGAGTCTTTATCAAGTCTCACATCCAACCTGAGATCCATTTCTGCCCTTTATGTTCCATTTAGAGCATAGGGAACAAAACACCATGCTTTTCTTTTTGCCATCTTCTCTGGTTCCTTCTGAACACCTCAACCAGGGACGGTTTTGTTGCCACTTTGTGTCAAATAGTCTTGTGACCAGCAGTTTTCAAAACAAACTACCTCTGACAAGTTTAAGTTGGGTCTGAAAAAATCATACAAAATTATATACAAATTTGAAATTGAAATTATTGTTACAAAACTACCACATAAAATACTCCTGAAGGTAAGTATCGATTGTAAAGAGGTTTCCACAAGGAGTGTGGCTTCCCATTGTTTAAAATCATAAACTAGTTCTATTCCTACAGGACATACTTGTTTTATGTAATCATCACTAAACATTGAAAGAACAAGGCTACAGTGTCAACAATATGTATCAGAGCCGTTTTAATTAATTTATTTACCAAGGTAAACAAAATCATTCAAGACCGATTTCGAATTGCAGATGGATTAAAAATGGTGGACATTTTCTAGTTTCAGACATTCACTTAAACAACACAGTCGCTTGAATCTCGGTCCACAAAACATCCCATGTAGTCCCCCTAGCGCCCTCCTAAACGTGCCTAGGGTAACACTAACGTCCCATATTGATGCCCGTCAGCAACCCATTCTTGTCGTAATAGGCGGCTAACGGAATCGGATGGTCAGGCTCGTTGACTTAGTTAATACATGCAATCGCATCCCCCTTGCGCAGATCGATGATTCTAGCACGACATTGTGTGATACTCGATTCTGACTGGCTGAGAACTCATCAAAACCGTACATAAATGGCAGTTTAAGACCGCCAAGTAAAATGCCAAGTATTCACCGCGTATGAATACAATGAACGCGTTGATCCTTTTGTTTGTAAACAAACATGTCGGACATCGGCGATTTCTACCTCGACAGCATCTTTGATGTTTTTGAAGTAAAAACCGAATGGTTTGAAGAAGAATTTCTTGACCCTAATCCCAGTGAAGAAACTACGAAGGTGGAAAATTCGTCAGCAGCGCAAAAGCGGCAGTATTCCGCTATACTTCAAACCGGGTCCAGATCTAGCGGGTCCAACACACGTCTGCCCACACGTCCTAACCTGATCGCTTCCGTCCCGGTCGTAATGCCCAGTCCTTCCACTTCCACTATCCGTGTTTCCCACATAAAACGTGGCATGTCAGGTATTTTCCAAATTGGGAATAGAGGCGTGGTTATCACAATTATTTCCGTGCATAAAGTTAGCGGCGAGTAAACTTTGTGAGTTCACGGCTTGAATTGGGGCGAGTCGATTGTCATTCAGTAGGGGACATCAATAATTCGCTTGAGAAAAATCCAATAATTGTACTTGCTCACAGTATAAACTGTATTTTTTTATTATTTAGGTATGCTATTTATTACAAAAACAAGCATAATGGTTCCTGAAATAAAGCATTTAGTTTGCTGAAAATGTCATATTTTGTTCATTATACAACCTGCCTTTCAAAGGGACGATTCCAAGCGA